GAACCGTGATTGGCTACATGGGAGTCCAGTGACATAGCCATTACGCTAACTGCTGGTCTCAATAGACTTTATTTTTTAGAGAAGTTTTAGATTCACAGAAAAATTGAGCAGAAAGTTCAGGGTTTCCATATTCCCTCTCTCTTCTTGCACAGTTTCCTCCATTACTGATGTCTTACATTAGTTGGTACACTGTGGCATCTCTGTCCTATTTTAGCAGCTCTTCAGGTATCCCCCCTCAACTTCCCAAAAGCTGAGCAATCTCAGTGTCTTAGAGTCCCTGGTGTTCAGATCTCTTCCCATCCTCCACTATCTTCTCTGGCCATACTTCTACTGGTCATTGGGCCTCTGATATAAGTGGTGTGAGGCGGCCTGACCAGGGTGACAGGCAACAAGGCTTGCATTTGTGCAGCCCAAGATCAAGTTACTTCCTTCAGATGCTGCATCACATTGTGAGATCATTTGAGACTGGTGGTGAACTAAGATCCCTGGGTCCTTTTCCTTTCCTTCCTTTTCATTTTCTTCAAAATAGTATATGTGTTTACTTTTTTTAAATTATAAAAGTAATAGGATCACATTAAATCTTTGAGGAAAACATACCCCTAACATTCAGTTCAACTTCATCTTCCAAGTCCTTTCCCACATTAACTGCTTTATTTTTCTGGTTGTAATCAAGGGGCATATATATTTTAGTGCATGAGCTTGTGAATTGCTACCAATTCCCGTTTTGTATTTTTATGGTGAGTTTTCAAACCTATATGGGAGAATTTATGTCCATCCTCAGGGCATTGGCTAATATTGGTTTGGGCCTTGGGCCTTCTCTGCTTTGTGTAGCTAGCAAAGCTAGCTTTGTATACCTCTTAGCTATTATGGTCAGCTTTGCTATGACTGGGATGAGGGCAGAGCCCTGTACTGAGCCGTTAGAGACTGTCTTCAGTTCGGCTGTGATCCTGTGACTTACTGTTTTTCAGCCAGGGATCCTTTTAACTCTATTCTACAGCCCTGAGGGCAGGTACCACTTACTCCATCAGCCACTCTGATGCTTGACCTGTGGCTTGATGTGGTGTTTTATGAGGCATGGCTCAGAACTTTCTAGTGGTCCTGCTAATAAGAACAGGGCTGGTTCAACCTGAAGACATGACTGTTTTCATACTCAAAAGTCTCTCTGACTCCATTCTAGCTAAGACTATCTATATTTTTGTTTTTGCTTATTGCCCATTCTTTGGGCAATGACAGTGAGGTCTTAGTTTGACCTTGAAAGTATAGAGCCCAAATCAGAGGCCAGCCCCACCCATATTTTTTCCTCCTTAGTACCCCGAGAGTAGAGGCCAATCCCACTACAGTGCCTCACCCTCTATTCGTACCGATTCACTCTACTGAACATCTGCTTCCATTCTACCCAGGTGTATGCTCTGACATGTGCTGTATCCCTCAGACAGCCTGTTATATTTATTCTGAAAAGATATATTAGCACATCTACTCTGATCTTTCCCGCCAAATATTTTGATTTTTTCCCTTTGGATCAAATACTGAACATTTGGCTCAAAGAACTGTGTGCCTGGAGGACATCTTTTTCTTTGGCTTCCTCCTAGAACGACTCTTACTAATACTTTGGCATATTGCCCTGAGCTTGCATTGAGGAATGTCATAAGCAAGTTGTGTGAAAATCATTCTCATGGTTGAGGACAGGATGCATGACAGCATCTGATGTCTTTGATGAGAATTTATGTGAAAATTATCCTTTTGGATGCTGTGTTTCTCCGGAGACTCTGATGAACTTTTATCTTATGGGCTCCCAAATCTGGAAGCTCATGTTTCCTTCTTCGCTATGGTTGCTTAGAAGTCAGTATCAACTACATGGCCCACATCTAGGGACAGACTTTATTTTCCTATCCAGATCTAACCATTTCTCTCAAGCATTCATCTTATCCTTTTTAATATATTTAATAAGCTGCCTCAAGTCCTTCTGGAATGAGATGCGCTTATGGCATCCTGTTCCTTTATTCTTGTAGACAGCCCCTCATGTTTAGGCTAAGATATCCAGTTTCTTTTTACTCCATATGGTCAACTGTGTGGTTTGAGTCTCGGACCTAGCAGCTTGCAAAACATGCTGGGCACAGGTTGTTATATTTAATCTCTGGCTTTCTGTCACCACCGCATTCAGTGCCTAGAATCATTTCACCTGCGAAGGCGTGAGTTTTTTTGTACTCCTCTTGCCTTTCGGGTGAAGATGACTGAAAACCTTACTGTTATCCTTGTTCATAACTAGTTTCTACATCTGGCACAGTCTCCCCTTCCGCCCTAGTAAACCAGATAGAATTGAAAAACGACTGAAAAAGATTGCTTGGGCACAATGGGAACAATTCTAACCAAAGAATTGTCGGGCCCTGCCTTCCCATCATTCTGTGAAAGATTTCTGCTATGGGGAGGACCTAACGTTTTTCAGTTTTTCTGTTCTAAGAATGGAAGTGAGGAAGCTGCTTTGGTGTGGAGGGTACATGGGCTGTCCAGAGGGGATAACAGGTGTGGGAGCCTGGGGTTGCGGGTTGCGGTGGGATAATGGGGAGAGTGAGTGACCTCATCTCTATGCCTGCCTTCTCTAGAGCTCCCTGCACCAGGAAAATGTGACAGTCTTTGGATGCTTGACTCATGAGGTGCCCTTGAGCCTGGGGGATGCAGCCCTGACCTGCTCCAAAGGTAGGGTGAGGACTAGGGGAGGAAAGGATGCCGGAAGTCTGGAGCAGGGAGGGGAGATATGAAGGAAAGGCCACCTAGGGTCTCCGGAAACTTGGGTCTGTGGGTGAGGATTTGCGTCCTGACCCCACCTTTTCCCCTGCAGAATCCCTGGCCGGCTTCCTTCTGTCTGTCAGTGCTACCTCCAGAGTGGCCAGACTGCGAATCCCTTTTCCGCAGACAGGGACCTGGTTCCTGACCCTCCGCTCTCTCTGTGGGGTGGGGCCTCGGTGAGCAGCGCGAGGGACTGGTGGGGGCAGGGGTGGGGCTTGCCCAGGCCCCCAGGTGACTGCAAATGTGTGCATAGGTTTGTGCGATGCCGCAACGCGACGGCCGAGGTGCGATTACGCACATTCCTGTCACCGTGCGTGGACGACTGCGGGCCCTACGGCCAGTGCAAGCTGCTACGCACCCACAACTACCTGTATGCGGCCTGCGAGTGCAAGGCAGGTGAGAGAGCTGGCTAGGGGGTGACTGGGACTGGCTTCCCGGGCGTCAGGGGTGGTCTGGAGGCGGTGGCCATGTCGAGTCTGTGGGTTGGAGTTGGGTCCATGGGCTGGGGTTGTGGCAGGAAAGGGTGTGGGGAGAGACTGCCTGGATTGGGGAGTAGTTTGGAGAGAATGGGAGGACAGAGCCAGAGTGGGCTTATCCTCCACTGGCAGAGGAGTGGGATTTGGCAAAAGACTGTGGGCAGAAGTATCTGCTAAACCCATGGCTGCCCTCTGTCCTCCACCCTGTGTCCTCCCCACCTGCAGGGTGGCGGGGCTGGGGCTGCACCGACAGTGCGGATGCGCTCACCTACGGCTTCCAGCTGCTGTCCACACTCCTGCTCTGCTTGAGCAACCTCATGTTTTTACCACCTGTGGTCCTGGCCATTCGGAGCCGATATGTGCTGGAAGCTGCTGTCTACACCTTCACCATGTTCTTCTCCACGGTATGCGGAAGCATCCCTGTCTTCACTGTATCTCTGTCTTCACCGTGTCCTTGTCCATCGTGCTGGGTGAGGGTCTCCATTTCCCCCATGTTCTCCGTAGGGTCAGGGATGCCTGTGCTTTCACTATGTCTTGTACAGCAGTGCTTCCCAACTTATCATTAAATATGTAGAAAATGGAATTTTTGTAAGGCACACTAGGGCATTGCACAGAGCTGCAACTTTGAACAAAGTTTGCAACTTCAAATGGGTCTTCAAAGTTTGGGTCCCCAGCTACTTCTCATCATGTCTGTGGGAACATGAGGAGACATTTACTCAATGCACTGGCCAAAAAGCTATGGAACTGGGCCTACACTTTTGCCATGTTTTCAGTATGAGGGCAGGAAATCTACACTTTCACCCACCTCTCTACCACGACAGTTTTCACCTTCATTACATCCTTTCACTATATGAGTGAGGATCAGCTTCTCTGAGCTCATCTCCTTTATTCCAGGGGTTTCTATGTCTTTATCATGTTTGTTTTTAATTGTATGAAATTTGGTTGCCATGGTCCCCTTGACTTCTCATGAGAGCTTATTAAAGACAGAGGGGCTTCCCTATATTGAACCAGTTATAGACTGGTGGCTCTTAGGGCCCTGAGAAACTTTATGGGCTCAGCTGTGTCCTAAGGCATCATGGGAAGCTCAAAGGAATAAATTTTGATGAAGATAAATATAGTTTTAAACCCCTCCACTCCCATTACAGAATCTCTACCATTTCTCCCTGTGTTTTCCCACTCCTCTAGGCAAGTTTCTTTTACAAGCAAACATCACAGGTACTATAAGGGAAAGGTAGATAAGTGAGTCAGCTAATGGGGGAGACTTCACCCTCATGTGGGATTTTTTTTCCCTCTGAAATGCTGCATCTAGGAATCTTTTCATCTCTTCTCTGGGTCCTCTGGTATCTTATTACATATAGCACCTGCCTATGAACATTGCAAAAATCTTAGGTGGATTTAGACTCTCCCTATGTCTCGGCCTTAGGATGTCACCACAGCCAATTCATGTCTCTCTGGTGTCCAGCATTACTAGACAGACCTGTGTCTAAATGATAAAAATCCTCCTTATCTAGGGGAAAGTAGGGGGCAGATGTGCTGACACTGAAGGTCACGGGGTCCTCCTGGATGCTCATCATAAATGAGGAAGGTAGGCTATATCCATGCTGCCCAGAAAGACCTTGGCCTTTCATACCATAGTCTTGCTTTACTGGCCCCCTTTGACTTGCACCAACAGTGCCTCATTCTATTTTTATATTAGACACCATTTTTCTTTCTTATTGCCAGATGCCCTTTCTATTGTTGCTTATCAAATCCTTTAGCAACAGCTGTTCCACCAGCCCACTCATGGTGACATGCAGACCTAATGTGATTCACAATTAGTAAGAGTACCATGGTCTATCAGGAGCCTGGAGTATGTGGGGAGGACATATTCATTCTCTTGGTCTTGGCACAAGCATCCAGGGTGCTGATTCCGGAGTGTTCAGTTCAGGTCTGGAAACTCTTCATTGTCTAGTTACAATGATATATCAACCTTATTAGAAAAGACCTTCCCCCAGTAGGAATACTCAAGGTGCCCCAAGTGCTTGGCACTGCATAAATAAGCAAAGTTCTTAAGTAAGCAAAAGAATAAGGACTCAAAACATGGTCAGCAATGTGGGAATCTAGTGCCTCAACCACCACATCACCTACCAGCCCCTCAACAAGTCTTTTGAAAGTCTGGGGCCAGCAGGTAGCATGGTGGTTAAGGCACTGGACTCCCACATGGTCAACTGCGGTTTGAGTCCCAGATCAGCAGCTTAAAAATCACACCAAGCACATTTGCATCTATACCCAAGATCCCAAGAGGAGAAGGGATTATGTCATGGCCATCCCTTCTAAGGTGTAATTTCTCTCTTTCTCCCTCTCTGTTTCCAGCGGGGTTATGCACCCTATGGCAAAAACCTTTAAAAAAAAAAGCCTAGGACACCCACCTAAAACATGATCATTCCAAGGTGATCTCTTCCAACAGGAACAAGATTTTTACCTTCAAAGTGTAGGAAAAGAAAAAAGATACGTAAGTTTATGTTTTGCAGCTTAGTTTAAAGGACTCAAACCTAGGGTTTTCTAATACCAATTCATTCATATCCCTAGACTTCCCTTTTTATTTCATTTTATTTTTCTAGGATTCTTAAATAATTATTTTATTTTATTTATTCATTCATTCATTTTTTAATTTGACCAGAGGGAGACAGAGAACGAGCAAGAGAGAGAGAGAGAGCAAGCAAGCAAGCCACCAGGTTCAGGACTTGAACCGTGGTCAGCCACGTGGGAGTGTCCAGCACCCTAACCACCACACCACCTGCTGATCCCTATTTTTCTAGGATTCTGACTTGTCCCTTTTTTTTTTAATTACCATGACATTTTATTAATTTTTCTTATGTTTTTTTTTTTTTTTGGCTTGTCCCTTTTTTAACTTTTTCAGTTAAAGTTTTAATTTTTGCAACTTGAATGACTGGGTGAAACTTTTAGCAAGGTCAAGGGAAAAATTAGCAATTTCTTTTTTAGCCTTTGCCTTTAGAGACTGACTTTCAAGGATGTTTTCCTGTTCTGTTGATGACAACTCTACATTTGGGCTGGATTCTGTCAGTTTTCACAGGAAACTTGGTTTCATTTCCCTCCTGCTATCTCATAAGGAAGGATTCTTTTAGATGAAGACTGGGTGTCATTGTTTGTACTGTGTGTTCAGGATATAACACTCTTCTCCCCAAACTATCCTTCCTGACCTTGCTTCCACATTCTCATTCTCATCTGTGAAACACTCAACCAGAGCCTAGGTTTCCTCCTTTCCATTCTTTCCAGAAGTCACAGATAACCCATTGCTGCCAGGGAGTGAAGAGATTTTGTTTTTGCTCAGCTATTTCTTTCCTCAATGGTTGATTCGTTATTCCTGCCTTACCCCAGGACATGCCTCTGGAGGGCCTGGAGACCTGTCTTACTGGGGTAGGATAAGGCTATCTCTTTCTTGGGCTCAGAACCCTCATTACTTAGGGTTGCCTTTAAAAAAAAATTATTTACTTATTTTAATTTTACTAGAGAGGAACAGAGAGAGAGAGAAGGAAAGTGAGAAAGCAAGCCACAAGGTCTAGGACTCGAACCATGGTTGCCTTTTAATAGTTGTTGAAGACACTGACCCAGGCTCAAAGGGTCTCTTTTTCATGGTGCAGGTGGGAGGGGGCCTGCATGCACATGCACCAGTGTGTTTTTCAAGACACTGGGTCTGGGACTTGAATCACATGATGAACCATGTGGGAATTCAGGTCACTTAACAACCGTGTCACTGGCTGGCCCTGCCACCCCAAGAGTTTATTCTTTCAAAGATCCAGTCATTTCAAAGGTTACCTTTGGATGGCACGACACAGCCTTCCTGCTGCAGCTGCATTTCAGCTTGGTGGACTTCACTCCAGCCCTGGCAGTTACTCAACTTGTTTCTCCTGTCACAAGATGCCCTCAGCACCCATGATTCTCAGAGGACCTGGGGAAACATGCAAGGGGCAGAGAGCAAGGTCAGGTCATAGAATCTGTAAAGAATTTGTTCAATTTTTTTTTTTCCCCATGAGCAAGAAAGACAGAGACGGAGACATTTCTCCAGCAGAGTCCCGATGCCATGATCCACCCCAGCTTCAGCCAGTCCTGGATCATGGCATCCATGTGCCTGCTGTATTCAGGGAGATCTTGTGAGAACCCAGAATCTTCCCCTGTGAGCCCCTCACAGAGCACCGTGTTTCACTGCAGTGCCACTGTCTGCCCCCAAGTCACAGAACCTTATGAAACTTTTTTGATACCCAAATGCTTGTATTACTCAGGCTCAGCTTCAGTGAGTAGATTTTGGTAAAGTTTATGTAGGTCAAAGCCCTTTATTCTCCTAGGATAGTGTTTTGTTTTGTTTTGTTTGTTTTAAGAGAGATATTTTTGCTATAGGGTGCATGTGCTCGCTGGAGAGACAGAGAGAGCTAGGTAGAAAGCGATAAATCACCCCCCTCCAGGGTGGATGGCTATGCTGCAATCCCTTTTCCTCCATTCTTCTCTTGGGATCTTGGGCACACATGCACATGTGCCCAGCGTGAGTTTGAAGCTGCCGGGTCTGGGACTTGAACTGTAGTTGACTACATGGGAGTCCAGCAACGTAACCATTAATACCATCTGCTGGTCCCCCCTGGCATGTTTTTCAAGCCTCCAGGTCTGGAACTCAAACCAGACAGTCAGGCATGTGGGATCCAGCTGCCTTAACCACCACACCACTGGCTGACCCTTAATTTTCTTTGTAGCCCTGCTCTATCCCCCTAACTATGCATTCTTCTTAACAAGGGGCAGGGGTGATATTAGATGAGAGCAGTGAGCCTGCCCCTGTGATGTTTGTCCTCAGTTTGGAGCTGCTTGTTCTCAGAGGTCTTGGCAAGTATGTTCTCTTTTGCTGGAGTCACAAGGCACGTGGGCACTGGACAAATCTCCAAAGGGATTGTGCTTTCGTCATCTTCGCACCAAAAATATTCTTAAAACCACATATGCTTTTAGTGTCTGACCTTGATAAATACTCAAATCACACATTGATTTTTTACGTAGGAAAAAAAAATTTTTTTTTTACGTAGAAATCCAGAGTAAATTGACAGCAAATGTCCTAAGATGAAGAGAACTTAGGCTCTCCCTAGATAATCCTTTCTATAAATAAGGGAACCCAGGATGCCAGAGGCCATGACAGCATGGTCCAGAGAGACATGGGTTGGTGCCACAGACCAAGGGAGGCTGATGGCAAATCTTTGTTCCTTCATTGGGGTGCCCAGTTCCCCTGTAGCCCCTTTGAACCTCGTGGTTTTCCTGGCCTTACTGTGATCTGCATGGCGTGGAGAGGTGCATGCTGTCCTGGCTCCACACTTTTCCTCGTGGTGAGAGGCACCATTCTTTCCTCATGGCCTTTTTTTCTTATTGTTTCCAGCTAGCCTACTCCCTGCCATCCCCAGTGGCATTGGGTGGAAGGGGATGAAGAGGGACAGCTAGTGCCGGTTCTGAGAGTGGAACCCAATTTGGAGTCTGAGTTATCGGGGGGACTGGGAGATGCAGGGGAAGTTTGGGGTCTGGTTTGACACAAAGCCAGAGCTGGGTCTCAGAGCTTGAGCTTGGGATGGGGATTATAGCTAAAACGCACATGAGCATGAGGAGATAGGAAAGGGATTCACCTCATTTTTGAGACCTGGACCTCTTGCTCTGGCATCGCCCACAGCACATTATCTTTTTATTTTTTTTTTAATTTAGAGTTTTTTGCTACAGGGCATGTATACTCGCTGGAGAGACAGAGAGACAGAAAGTGAGAAATCACACCCCACCCTCCCCCACCCCCGCCAGGGGAGATGGTCACACTGCAATCCCTTTTCCATTCTCCTCTTGGGATTTTGGGCACACACATGCAAGTGGTGGATGTGAGTTCTAAGCCACCAGGCCCAAGACTTGAACTGTGGTCGACTACATGGGAGTCCAGCAGCATACCCATTACGCCATCTGCTGGTCCCATCCCACAACATATTCTTGAGTCAGGAAGATTAAAAAGGGCTGCCAGATACATATGGCTTACAAAGCAGACCAGGCCTCCTTCCCGTAGTCTTCTTGGGGGTAGGGAGTTAGGCATTTCTCAGTTCTGCTCATCTGTCACCTCTGACCTCTGCTTCTCTGATGACAGCACACCACCTGTATGACCTCTTTCACCAGTTTCATCCACCCAGCCCTCTGCCTCAAGTCCTCTTATTGCCTCTTTCTTCCTCTAGTTCTATCATGCCTGTGACCAGCCAGGCATTGTGGTTTTCTGCATCATGGACTACGATGTACTGCAGTTCTGTGACTTCCTGGGCTCCTTAATGTCCGTGTGGGTCACCGTCATTGCCATGGCTCGCTTACAGCCCGTGATCAAACAGGTCAGTCCAGAGTGGGCCCTGGGGGACATCCATGGCCAAATCTTGAGAGCCACTCCTGATTCTCTCCCAGAAAGGTCAGTTATGGTGGCCTCTTGCCATGCTGGCCCTGCATCTGGCATGCTGTCACCTGGCTCTAGCACCATCCTTGGTGTCCTTCTCTAGGTGCTGTATCTTCTGGGGGCAATGCTGCTGTCCATGGCTCTGCAGCTTGACCGCCATGGACTCTGGAACCTACTTGGACCCAGTCTCTTCGCCCTGGGGATCTTGGCTGCAGCCTGGGTAAGGGTGGAGTGGGATGTGTGGGAGGGGTACCAGCAGGACTCGGGTGTAGGGCTCTGAGGATCTGGTCTCTGGCGTCATCCCCTGTTGCTTACAGTGCCTGCTCCACTCTGGGAGGTGCCTGTAGTCATAGCCAGGGCTCAAGGGAAGCTTGGGCCTGACCAGCTTTGGTTTCAGGGCCCTGAGTCCCACTTCTCTGTCTCTTCCAGACAGTACGCAGTGTCCGCCGCCGGCACTGCTACCCACCGACGTGGCGCCGCTGGCTTTTCTACCTGTGCCCAGGCAGCCTTATTGCTGGCAGTGCCGTCCTGCTCTACGCTTTTGTGGAGACCCGGGACAACTACTTCTACATTCACAGCATCTGGCATATGCTCATCGCAGGCAGTGTGGGCTTCTTGCTGCCCCCACGTGCCAAGACTGACCACAGGGTCCCCTCTGGAGCCCGGGCCCGGGGCTGTGGTTACCAGCTATGCATCAATGAGCAGGAGGAGCTGGGTCTTGTTGGCCCAGGAGGGGCTACCGTCAGCAGCATCTGTGTCAGCTGAGAGGAGCTTTGGTCTGGCCCTTTAGGGTACATGAACCCTCACGGTTCTTCCTGGAGGGTCTGGAGCCCTCCCAGGGACAAGAGACAAGCTGTATTTCTTGAGGACATGGAGTCTTACTCAAGGACATAGAATTCTTCCAGGGACCTGGGGCCCTTCCCAGGTCATGGAGAACTTCCCAAGGGTCCTGGAGTCTTCCTGCATCCATGGAGCCCTTCTTAATGACAGGAGTCTATGCAGGGCACAGAGCCCCCTTAGGACTCAGGAGGCCCTTGTAAGGGCATGCTGCTCTTCCCGGGGAGACAAAGCCCTAGCAAGAACATGGAATCATTCCAGAGGAAGTGGAGTTTATCATGGGGAAACTGAGTTTCCAGATTTTTCCAGAGGATCAGCGACTCTGGCCTCAGGCTTCCTTCCCAGAGGCAGCATCTGGGCTGTGCTGTGTTGGGGAAGGGGGGACTGCAGGACAGGTGGGGCTGGGGTGGCTGGTGTCCTGAGTCGATGCAGGTGGAGTCTGGTGTGTCTCCAATGAAGTACATGCTGGTTCTGTGCCGCCTTTTTTCCTGGAGTCAAGGGTGTGGGGAAGGAAGGGAAAGGGACCCTGAGGAAATCAGCATGGCCGATGGAAGCCCACCTGAACAAGCTGCTGGGGGCTACTCTCTGAGGCTTTTGGCCTATCACATGCACACCTGCATCTCTCTCACCTGGTCCCTGTGTTCATTTCCAAACACTTCCAAAGCCGATACCTTCATTCCTATTGAGTCTGGGCTGCAGTAGTGTGTGTGTGTGTGTGTGTGTGTGTGTGTGTGCACGTGTGCGTGCATGTGCAGAGATGATTTAAATCCATGAGACAGATCTCCCTCTTGACACCCACACCCAACTGGGAAGGAAGCCGAAATCTCAGGAAATTGGAGTAGCCGGTACAAATTTAAGATGAGCAAAAAATAACACAAGAATGTAACTTCTATTTTGAGCCTCCATTTTTCCTTAGTGTCAGAAATAATCTTTTGTCAATTTGGAATTTCTTCTCTTTTCACAAAGGTCATAGCTGAGTTCTAAGGGTCTTACATAGCGCCAAGATGTTGGGAGGACCTTCTCTCCAGTCACCAGAGTCCACATGCCATCTGTCACCTGAGATCGCCATCATTCTGTCTGGTCCCTGTCAGTGGTCCAGATAGGCCATCTGAATTCAGGGAGGGCCCTGAGTCATGTCTACTGCAGGGTCCTGCTCTGGGTTTCTCCTTTTTCTCCTTCCTGCTTTTTGGCTAGAGGATGTGTGCTTCAAGAGAGAGACAGAGACAGAGAGGGAGAAAACAGAAAGCATAGCCCCTCTACCCCCAGGGAAAGTTCACACTGCAATCTCTTCTCCATCTGTCCCTCCTGATGGGATTTTAGGCATGCATGCACACACACCCAGGGTGTCTCTCAAGCCATTGGGTCTGGGACTTAAACCTCAAGGTTGGCCATGTGGGATACAGCTGCCCTGTTCCCTGGGCCACAGAGCCTGCTCAAGTTTCTGTATCTTTTAAACCTATCTGGGGTTCAGCCTGTGGAGCAGGACCCAGAACTCCTCTCCTTTGGGACCCTTCTGTGCCAGTGCACTCACTACAATTTTTCCTCCTCTCTATTCCCTCCCCTTTTTGTTAATCTGGAGGTGGGGAAGCCTTATTTTTACTTATCATGTTTTCTCCTAAATATTTTATCTGTGCCTTAAGTCTGTTCCCTCCAGGGCCTGTGCTTTTGTAGCCCAAAAGCCAGAAAAACAGCCCTTCATTTTCTGCTTTTGGTGATTGTTTTAGTATCTCTTTCATAGGGGACTGAGAATGACTTGGCCACCGTAATGGCGAGAAGGCATGAGGGGCATGGGCTTGGCGTCTGTTCCCATATCGGAAATGCTTCCGCTCTATTAAGGCACACAGAGCCAGGTCATGAGGACACTTGAGCCCATTTAGCTGGGATTCAGGACCAAGTCAGCAGAGTACAGAAGGACTGAAGAAACAGCTGTGGTACACCCATCCAGCTCAGAGGGTCAGAAGGAGCTTCCTTGAAGGGGGGTGGGTGTTAAGGATTAAGTGAGTCACTATAATGCCATGACATTGGGAGAACATTCTCTATCAATACTGGAGTCCATATTGCATTCCTCTCCCAAGTGTTCCAGCATTCCATCTGGTCCCCAGTGAGTAAAGCACTCAAACGCTCAGTACAGCTTCTAGCCTCGAATCTGAAATACGTCCAGTAGATGTTAGCAAAAGTCATGCAGTATCTTGACCTGAGGGGCTGGCAGTTACTGCTGCTTCGCAGTTAGTACCTGCACACATAACCAGACTAACACCCCCAACCACCTACAACTGCCTGGAGCATGTCCCACGGCACGGGGCGCAAGCCCCTTACGCGATGTGGGCTTCTGAGTGACAGTTCGGTTCAACAAACCTTCCACAGAGAAGGCATCACGGGAGCCACCAAGATGAGTCAGACCTGGTGGATCCTACCCTGGAGGAGCACGCATAGTGGTACCACATCACCACTGCAAGTCAGGCTGGGGGAGAACCTAGGAGAGGCCCTGACAAGGCGCTGCAGGGGATAGGGGACAATCTCAAAGTGCACCAGGAAGGAAGATGTTGTCCAGACTCCTTTGAAAGCGAGCCCCAGATCTCATCGGAGAACTGTGGGGGTGAAGGCACAGAGGTGCAGATAGTATGATAATGTAGTGAGGGCACAGCTCATGTGAAGGGCAGAGTAAGAAATCAGGCAGAAGAAGTGGCAGGGTCAGAGTCTGGAAGGCCTTGAGGACTCAACCAGAGAATTTGGACTTAATGGGAGCGGGTTGGGGGGCAACCAAGGTCCTTGCCTAGAAGAGTCATGGATCAATCAGAACCTGATCAAAGTAGCAGAACCACTGAGTGATAAAAGGGATCTATTATAGACACTAGACCTATATGGTCATGGGAGCAGTTGGAGAGCTCTATGCAAAGTTGTTACCTCTGCATTTGATGTTGGCCTGGAACTGCTACATGTCCACAGGGCTGGCAGTTGGGGAGGAAATCTGAAATGTGAAGTGGGGGAGAGTGAGGGAACACTAGAATGCAGGGTGAGAGGTCTGGAGCCGGTGTCTGGCTCTCACGGCCTTTAATCTCAGTGGCACTGGCTTCTCCACTCTATGGCACCTTTTGCCATAGATCTGCACTTGGCCCAGGACCCAGGACAGCTGAAGAAGGTGCTCTGGTGGGAGCTGGATGGTTGCATCTACAAGGTGATCCTGGAACATGGCAACAACTGCTGGTACTCCTGCAGTGTCTGGGGCTGCTTTACTTTTGCCTTCCAAATCTCATGAAAACTTCTCCTGTGGTTGACTCCAACCTTTACTTTTGCCTTCCAAATCTTATGAAAACTTCTCCTGTGGTTGACTCCAACCCGCACCGATAAAGGCAAGGTATCTCTGAAAAGCAAGCTTCCAACCTAGTTTGATCAACAAAGTACGAAGCCACCAGGAGTGAGCAGATCAGAGCTTTCTTCGACTGATTAACCTGTAGCAGTCAGTGAGGGCCAGATGGTTCAGGGAGAGGGAAGCCAAATCTCTCATGGCTCTTGGGTCGACTGTAGGATGGGTGTGGTAGTTTAGCCATTCACACGTCTCTCAGCCCACTCTCTCCTCCCCTCTCTCTCTTTCCAGGAAGATGTACTGTGCTCCCCTCACCCTTGATGTTAAATGTGACCACATGCCTTGTGTTGCTTCTGAGTGGCTTTAAGAGTCAGAGCACGCTGGACCAGTGAGGTGGCATGATGGCCAAGGTGGCTGGATCTGACATGGCCAAATGTGAGGTTCGAGTCCCGGACCTGGCAGCTTGATAAACATGCTGGGCCTCTGTGCGTACATGCCCAAAAGCCCAAGAAGAAAGTGGAAGAGAAAAGATTGCAGTGTGGCTATTTCCCAGGGGTGGGTGCTTTCTCACTTTCTCCCTTCCCCCACCCCCAAGTGCTCTACAGCACAAGTGCTCTACAGCAAATTAAAAGAAAAAAGAAAAAAAAAAAGTCAGCAAGCACAGGTGCTGTTACTTTTTCTTTTCTTTTTGTCATGGTGACCAGCAATGTTCCAGATGGCAGCTGCTTTGTCATCCTAAGTCCCAGAGAATGAAGACCACAATGCAGAGCAGAACCCCCAGCCAACCTCTAATGGACCTGCAGCATGAGCAAGAAATAAACCTTAGTGGTTTTAAGCCACTGAAAATGTGAGGTCATACTACAGCAAAACTTAGCCTGTGCTGGCTGTTAGAGAGGGACGGCAACAGGAGAAGTTGGACATTTTCCTGTGGAGCAGACCTCCCCCCAGAAGAGCCATGGCAGCCGCTTTCACCTCTGTGTTCCTCAGGCTGTAGATGATGGGGTTCAGCGAGGGTGTCACAACCCCATAGAACAATGCAATGATCTTATCCAAGTCGGGATCCTTGACCTTGGGCTTGAAGTACATGAAGGAGATGGAGCCATAGAAAACCACCACCACTGTGAGGTGGGCAGAGCAGGTGGAAAAAGCTTTGCGTCGGCCTGCAGCAGAGGGTACCCTAAGGATGGCCACTAGGATGAAAATGTAGGACAGGCAGATGAGGAGGAGTGGGGCCAGCGTCAGAATAACTGTGGCCACCATTAATACCAGCGCATTGAGGGAGATGTCTCCACAGGCCAGTTTCAGCACTGCTAGGATCTCACAGAAGAAGTGGTTGATGACATTGTGGCTGCAGAAGGGGAGGCGCCAGGCAAGGATGCACTGCAGCAGCGAGTTGGCAAAGCCAGTCCCCCAGCTCAGTACTGCCAGCTGCATGCACATCTGTCCACTCATGAGCTCTGGGTACCTAAGCGGCTGGCAGATAGCCACGTAGCGGTCATATGCCATCACCGCCAGGAGCAGGCACTCTGCAGAGCCCAGTGCCAGGGTCAGGTACATTTGCAGAGCACAGCCAGGAAAGGAGATGGTCCTTTGGGCTTCCAGGAAGTTGACCAGCATGAGAGGCACAAACGAGGAGGTGCCACAGATGTCCATGAGAGAGAGGTTGCTGAGAAAGAAGTACATGGGGTTGTGCAGGCGGGGGTCCAGCATGTTCAGCCCGATGAGGAGGGAGTTCCCGAGCACATTCACAGAGTAGATGCCCAGACAAAGCACAAACAGGACCAACTCTAGGTTATGGCGCCCCTGGAGCCCCAGCAGGACATACTCCGCCACAGCTGTCTGGTTTGCCTTCTCCATCTCATTCTCTTTCCTTTCCCATCTGGACTATGTAGCTTTTTGAAAAAAATTCTGACTGGCTTAGGAGCCCAGCAACCCGGACAGCAGGTTAGCCTCCCTCTCTGGAATTCAGTTTCATCATCCGTATAATTAGAGAGCTGATCTTCAAGTCCGTAAGCTGGCTCTCTCAGCTCGGCAGTTCTATTGACATGACTTACGGGAGGATGTGGAACATTCCAGTCCCCTAGGCTCCACTCTGTCCTCCCCAGCGTTGGCTCGAGAAGACAATAGAGTTGGATTCATGTTTGACATGCTCCTTTGGAATCTGAAGTGTTCTTGGCTGTTGAGAGGAAGCATCTTTTCTGGGTTATGACTTCATACAACTGAACTAGGCCTATAGTTTTTCAGATTTATTCATTTGCCGAATATTTATTAAGCACCTACTCCATGCTAGTTATTTATATCAGGCTCTGGGCTTCGGTAGTAAGAAAAATAAGTGGACAAATGAGTCTACACTGGTTACAGGTGCTACACCGTCTCCCTGGATCAAGTGAGGTGAGCTCTGGAAGGCAGGTGAGTGATGAACGACGTTCAGCTGGAGTTCCTCTGCGTCATAAAGGTTCATCATGTCGGTTCCGGAGCATGTACAAACCTGACTTTTGGCCTCTTAAGAAATCACAGATAATTCATTGATTTTTTTTTTTTAAAGGACATACAAGAAGGGCTGGCAGGTGGCATGGTGGTTAAAGCACTGCACTCCCACATGGCTGACCCCAGTTTGAGTCCTGAACCTGGCAGCTTGCTTTCTCACTTATTCTTTCTCTCTCTCTCTCTCTGGTCAAATTAAATAATAATAATAACAAGTAGAATTAAATAAATATTTATTTTTAAAAAAGAACATACAAGAATATACATATCCCGATAGACTACTAGTCATAGGTATTAACCCTGATCATAAAAGCCAAGTGACTCAGCTTTGGCCTCTCTGAGCCTTACAGAAAATGGTATTGGCAATGATGCCACGTGAGGAAGGAAATTGGGTGCTAATCTGGTAGGTGTGGCCTTACAAGGAGAGGAGTGGAAAAGGCTGTTATTTTCTCCCAGGTAGCCTCCGTTGCTCTGCGGAGCTGGCTTCATTGCGTTCTTGGGATATTCGCAGGAGGAAGCCTAAGTGTCCCTCAAAACACAACAGTCTTTTAGGACAAGAAAGCTGTCTTATGATCAGGTGTACCAGGTCTGAAGGAGAAATAAGAGCTAGAGTGAGCTTTTTAAATTTTTTTTAAAAATTACTTTCTAACTTGACCAAAGAGAGACAGAGAGAAAGGGAAAGTGAGAGCCGTCAGGTCCGAGACTTGAACTTCGGTCAGCCATATGGGAGTCCAGCACCTTAACCACCACACCACCTGCCAGCCCCGAGTGAGCTTTTATAAGATATAAGCCACTCCCCTGCCCTCCTTTCCTTTATTCCTAGATTGTGAGGTCGGTGTCCTGTGACCGCAATGGAGCCCTGTCTGTCCTTCCAGGCTGGATTTTTTCCCTCACTTCTCCTGTTTAATTGTATCCACTCTTTGCAGGGGTCAAAGGACTCACCCTGTCCTGAATAAGCCATGCTTTTCCCCGTCTTTACATCTTTGCCCTAGACCAGGTATGTCTTCCATCCCCTCCCCAGGAGGTCATTCGCGCTCGTTCTTCAGTCCAGCCCTCCTCCCTCCTACCCGCCATCGCAGGGTTACTTGCTCCCTTCCGGTGCTCTCTCAGCCCTTGGCCATACCCCTGAGTTCCTGTGCAGTGTATGGGGCACCTGTTTTCTTTACTATACCTCGGTATCAAGACTCTCTCCTTTCCTCCAGCTCCTTATATGGAAAGTGCTGTCGAGGGCAGACACTCCACAGACACTGAATGCATGTTTCAAAACCCAGATTTGCTTCCTAGCTTCAGTTTGAACTAGCTGTGTGATACTGATCAATCACTTGACCTCTCTGAGACTCAATTTCCTCCTTGAAAATTGGGGTTGCTGTGTAGCTCCAAGGAGACACACACACGAAGGTGCTTGCAAGCTGCCCGTGGTGGTGCAACGACATGTTACTGAGGCTCTAGATGGAAGACTGCATCGTTAGCCTGACGCACCTGCTGGACTGTACTCACCACCTCTTGGACAAAGGCTCTAGCATCTTTTATGACACCCTCTTTCTCTGGAGCTTCGGCAGGTGTTCTTTCTTCTACCTTGAATGAGGGTGATTATTAGAGGACAGTTTCTGGGACACATGGGGCAGTTGGTTAACCTTGGTCAGTAACCAGCCTTAAATCGTATCCATGTGAATATTTAAAGGCAAACGTTCTCTTGCTAAGGTTTGGCAAAGAGATAAAGATTTGGCCAAGTGTGATGGCTCATCCATTTACTCACTTGGCAAATATTGGGCCACTGGAAAAGTCATGATGCATTTTTGTACAGAAAAACATAGAAAGAGTATGTCATGATTTTTCCAATGACCCAATAATTATCGAGCATCTGCTATATACTAGGCCCCATGAAGGTGCTGGAAATACAGCCGAGACAGCTATGGCTTCCACTCTCATGGGGCTCACACTTGCTCAGTGACTTTGAACACCTCTCCTTCTCTAAGCTTCAGACTTCTGAGATTCTGAGTCTAGAGTGTAAACAAAGTGAAATCTGAAATCAGGGGAGAAAAGCTAGAAGGCCTTTGTCTTTGCTGGATATGTTGTTACAAAGAGACTTATGCTCATCTCAAATTCTGACAGTGGACACAGGCATGGGGCTGCTTGCAAGGAGGCAGAGGGTGGGAAACTCCCTGACTCCCCATTTCTCCTCCTAAACCTTGACTCTAACAAAAAGACCAAGTGAGAATGGCAGAGGCTCTTGAGGGCTTTGCAAGCAGGCTCTGGCCTACCTTCCTGCTAATTCCCACTATGTCCCTCTTGTGCACCTGCTCAAACCACTCCCCATGGTTTAGACAAAGTCTACACATTCCCGTCTTGTCCCACTTCTCACAGGGGCCCATCCTTCAGGGCTCAGTTCATGCCTTACCTTTGTGCAACCACCTCAGATGCCTCCATAGAACTACCACTCTGACAATAAGATAGTCAGACAGCCATGAGCAGAGACACTTTTTTTCATTCTGCCCTGCATCATAGTTTGTTTGTTATGTCTTCCTCTCTGATGACACTTTGAGCTATGGAAGTGAAAGGACTGTGTCTGATTCATCTTAGTCGGCCCCCATTGCTCTGTGCCCAGGAGGTGACAGTGATTGCCATTGATCAGAACTGACTGTTCATTGAGATGTTCTTCCAGGGATGTTCTGTCCCAAATCCCAATCCTAATGTCGTACCTTGAGATCTGTCCTCGCCTCTTCAATACACACACCTCAATGGGATGATGCAGCCATTGTGACTGCTAGAAGAGTTACTCTTTCTGAAGAGCTCCATCAGGAGAGTGGTGGCTTTCCTCACAATCTAAGTCTGATCATAACACATTCATGGAAATTAGAACCAGCCCACGAGACCACAGGCTCAAGGTCCCAAAGAAATCAGTCTGTATCTAGAAAATATCATGCTGCCAAGTTACCAACAGGTTTGGGTCTGCAACATGGACAAGGATGGGGCACCAGGGGGCAGCAGCTGTCCCCTTGACATGTCAGTCAGGATGGGTAGGTTCTGCTGCAGTAACGTACCACCTCATTGTTTCAGTGGCTTAACATGACAAACGTCTATGTCTTTCTCATGTTGTGTGTCCATTAGGGGATTTCAGGGAACTGTGCTTGGAGACTCTGGCTGAAGAAGGCTCCACCAACTGGGGCACAACCAGTTATGACCAACGAAAGAAACACTGGAGCATCTTTCAGCAGCAGTTAAATATTTTGACCCAGAATACCATATGTCATAGCTGCCCACAACCCACAGGCACTGTCTAATCCTCCCACATGCCCAGAAAGGAGAGAACCAGAAATACCACTGAGCAGCATGTCTGCATTTGGATACGATGGAGTTTTGTAATACATTCTGAAAACTGCACTAGCACCTACCTGCCAGTACAGCACACACTGCTATGCCCTGGAAAATCAGATGTCTCTGGAAACAATAGTTTCACTCTTGTTTTACATTTTCTTTGTTTTTTTTTTTTTTTTTTTTGGGGCGAGGTTTTTGCTATAGGGTGCGTGCACTCGCCAGACAGAGAGAGACAGAGAGACAGAAAGCGAGAAATCACCCCCCAGGGGGGATGGCCACGCCGCAATCCCTTTTCCTCCTTTCTCCTCTCGGGATCTTGGGCATGCATGCACACGCGCCTGGCATGAGTTTAAGCCACCGGGCCTGGGACTTGACCCGCGTTGACTACGTGGGAGTCCAGCAACATAGCCATTACGCTAACTGCTGGTCCCTCCTGTTTTACACCTTCTAACAGGCAGGATGATGTATGGGATGAGCCCTATGTAGGAAGGAGGGGACCCAGGTTTGATTCTTGACTCTTGTTCTTATTCTGTTGTATGATCTTGGTCCAATGTCTCTTGAGAAATGGAGCTACTCAATTAAATGATCTTGGTCCTCAATAACTTCAAAAACTGTTCCTCACATCTCTCTATCACCTTCCAGTCCCGAGATCTGACAAGCCTGGGTTACTTTGCAAGGTAATATGTCAATTTCTTTGGTTGATAAATCTTTTTTTTTTTTTTTTTAAATAAGGTTTTGGCCATAGGACACGTGCACTTGCTGGAAAGAAACAGAGCGACAGAGTGAGAGGGAAAGTGAGAAATCACCCCTCAGGGGAAACGGTCATGCTGCAATCCCTTCTCCTCCATTCTTCTCTTGGGATTTTGGGCACACACACAAGCCTGGTGTGAGTTTTCAAGTCACCAGCTCCTGGACTAGAGCTGTGGCTGGCCGTGTGGGGGACCTGCACTGTAACCACTGCGCCACCTGCTGGCCCTGGTAAATCTAATTTTAACTATTTACAGTTTATTATGTACTTTGGGCTTCATCATTATTTAAAAAGAAAGAAGAGGGGTTTT